CAGATAATGACACATTATTACTGCAGCACTGATAGATTTCACAGACTTCACCAGGGGTAAAAAAAAACCCAAAACATTCTGAAGTAATTTTTGTCAGAAATTGTTGCTAACACAAGAGTTAAGCTTTTTACAACACTTGAGTTGGTAAAATGAAAAGGATTGTATTTCATGAGAGCTACAAGACACCAAATTCTACGGCCCCTGTGCACAGAGAATTAAACTGGGAGTTAGGCATCTTTGAAAATCTCACTTCTTTAGGCACCTGTTTGCTTTGAGCAGTGGGGCCTAGACACATCCATGTTGGGAATAGGGGAAAAACTGCTAAGGTCTTTTTGGTGGCTTTCTCCTGAGCTGCTTTGATGTGTTAGCCTCAAGCTCAAAGGGAATCTGAGTTTACCAGTTTTGCATTTTGTCTATACAAAGATGAAATGGAACCTTCAGCTGCCTTGAAGAAATGCTATTATGGGTTGCTGAAAAACTTTTTGAGGGTCTGGATAGTAACAGCAACATAAAAAAAAAGTCTAATTCTGTACTTTTATAATCTAGTGCTGGTTGCTTTTCAGTATAAAGTCTTTACCATAAAACCTGCATGCTTGTGAAAACAGTAATAGAAATCCAGGCCCTGCTCCTGCCCATGTTGCTGAGCTGACAGCTCCAGATTGTCTCATATCTTCATTTCATTTAATTGCATCGTAGGGGAGCTGCAGGTTGCCAGTATTGACCAAGGGAGTCTCAGCAGGATGGACTGGCCCTGGCTGTGTTGACAGGGGTAATGAGATGAATATACTGAGCCATCCTCCATCTCTGGCACCCATGGGGGTTTCTGCAAGGGATTGCAGGTTCAAAAGCTCCGTGTCAGTGGGGAGAGGAGGCCTGGGAGTTGCTGCACTTCACCTGCCACATAGGCAGGGTTAGGCACACAGCCTGTCTCAGAAGGTCAGGGAGACTCCCCATGGAAAATGGCTGCAACTAATCTTGTGTCCCCGCAGTGACAGGAGCTGAGTGATCCAGCTTGGTTTCTTCATCACTGCAGTGAGCTGCTTTTCACCCCTGCCTGGCAGAGGCGTTTCTTTGCTCTTCCCCATGAAATGGTAGTAAATAGGTCCATGCTCTGTCACTCAGGGCTTTAGAAGTTCCTGATCCCATTACCTCAAAAATGCTGCAATCTGACTCATAATGTGGAACTTAGAAGTTCCACTTTGGAAAAGTAAATGGCAATGAAGATACTCCTGTAACACACTCCAGCCCCACAGGCAGGAGGCGTGGTGAAGTTTTGCCTCTTGAACGTGTGAAAGCTGACCGTGGTGGCTATGCTGGGGTTTGAAACTTGTCTTCTCCAGGGACAGCCATGACGTTTGAAAGCTATTTCAAAGTCCATTGACAGCTGTGGGATGGTGGCCAGGAGGGGTAGCTGCAGCACACAGCTAGCAGTGCCTGCTTCTGTGCATTAAGCCAGCATTCCCAGTCAAGTTTCAATTCCCTGGAGCAGCAAGCCAGGCTGGCTGGTGTGTTGCAGGTGCACCTGGTGCCAGTTCCCCTTTGGTTTTAGTGATGGCTGGTGGGAGAAGGGAGGGGAACTAGCAGTAAACTCTATTCTCTGTGTCATTATATTTCTAATGTTGGTGTTCTTGTCTTTATGTCTATGCATTCTTTAGCTATGAGGATAACAGACCCTTCATCAAGTAAGAATGACCTGAATGGCTGATAAATTTCATTTATCAGTGTGGTCTCATGAACCAGCTGTCAGATCAATATTGAAAAATCATTAAAGCTTCTGTCATTCGCTTTTGAGGCAGAAGAGCAAACTGTGCAGGAAAATGGTCAGGCATACAGCTAAGGTGCAGAGTAGATGTGCTGCATGTGTATTGCCAACCAATTGTCACCTTATTTGCTTTATATTCTTTAATTGGATGTTACTTAAATTCAAGGTGAAAGCTCCTAATTTAATCCTGCGTAGTACAGACTTGTTCTACCAATAGCAGCCTCTGGTCCACTGTGCTCTGTCACTGGGATTGCTTTATGGTAGTATAAATACAGAAGCAAATTTCCAAAAACGTGCATGGCTGCTATTCCCCATTATTCCCTTTCTAGTTAATGGGAATAGTGCAAGCAAATCTGTGTGCATTGGTGGCTCCTTACTCATTGAACTACCTCCTAGTTTTCCCTAATTGTAAACCACTGATTCTCAAATGCACCAAAAAACAGGTATTTTTGTTTCTTTATTGCAATAAAATTCCAGTACAAGAAAGAAAAGCCATGGAAAAGCAGCAGCAAGTCTGTACAAAGAGCAAGATAAAAACCTCAAGCTGCACCAAAAAAAAAAACCAAACCCCAAACCTCTGTGAAGGTGAAGAAAGCCAAAAATGCCTTGAAATTATATACCTTAGGGCATTGCTCTTTCTCCTGCAACCAAAAAATTAATGTGCAGTAGCACAAAATAGAAGTAAATGAGCTTTTCAGTAGACTTTCAGTTTGTTCTTCTGGTGAAGAGTCCTTTGTATTCGTTCTTTCAGCACCATTCCCATGTTCTCTTTCATCGCTTGGATCTGGTGTTTTCTGTGGATGTGGGATGGAGCTATTCACAGTAATCTCCATGTCCTCTTATTGCTGGGTCTTGTTTTCTGAGGCACAACACTGTTAATGCGTGCAGTTTGCACTGTTGGGGGTCTTCTAACCCACAGATTCCTTTCCATCACTGAAGGTAGCATATTTTCACTAAATAATTGTTTTTTTCCTGCACACCTCTGCAGCCAAAGGCTTTCTAATCACATTCAAGAATGGGCTGTGCTTTAGAGCCGAATACTTTTCTGATTTCCAGGGAATAATTTTTGAAAGACTCTGGAAATGCAGGAAGCTTTTATCTGGGGATGAGGAAAGAGGGAAAAAAGGGGGTTTTCCACTTTATTTGTTCTTCTTTTTTTGGTGAAAAGGAAAATTATTTGTATTTTATTAATTGGTATGCAACTAGGACAATAACATGCTCTCACTGATGGTGGAATCATGGGGAGAAAAATATCCCAAGTGACTAAAGCTGTAAATTTTATCTAGTGACTACCTTTCTGAAGGATTGTGAGAGTGTATTTTCAATTTGCATCATGCTAAATATTTATTAGTGGGATTGACTGGAAATGCTTCAAAGGAGCTGTTCTGGTCTGCTAGGTCCATAATAGTGATTTTTAAAGAACTGTCTTAATAAGCGGTTACCTTAGGGAGCTCTTCTGGTCATGTGGTTAAATAATACATATTTTATAAACTTCAGTGGAAGACTTAATGCTGCCTTTTCATTCTAATACCTAAAGGAAAAAAAAACCCAAAACAAACGACAAAAGACTTGAATACAACATTGGTATGCTTTTGTTTGTGACAAGCTCTGCTAAAAGGAAAAGGATTCAAGGCTGTAAGCTGCCATGGCATCTCCGTAGCAGAGATTGTCTGTCTGACCTCCGCAGGACGGCTTTGTTCCCCCAAGTTGCTGCTGCTTCATCTTTTTCCCCCCTTGCCCCACGCTCTGCTTAGCAGGCAGAAACACAAACATGCCCAAACCCAGGCCACACTCCCACAAGGCTGAAGGGGCCTGGAAGCATAGGGAGGTCTTTGTCCCTGCGAGCCCTTCTGCAGCACCTCAGGGGGCCTTGGGGCAGACAAGGAGGCAGAGATGCTGGCTCACTGCAGTCTGTCTGATTTGGGATATAGAAAAGCTAAACAGGGAGGAAGGTGTGCAAAGATTGGATATCGATGCATTCATTTGCATGGTGTTACCCCTAATGATAACAGGGGATGGCAGAAGAAGACCAAAGCCTTCAGGTAAAGGACAAACACAGATATTCAAGGTGCTGCTTGCTTCCCAGCTAGAAGCTGACTCCCTCTTTTGTGCAGCAGCAATTCCTATGAAGTTGTAGGTAGTACATCATGTGAAAACTAGGCTAGGAGCAGGATAGAGTTCCTGTACTGCTTCTCCCACTTCTTCTCTTGTCCTGGTATTTGAAGATCAGTCTTTGAGAAGGTAATTTAGGAGATGACTAAATGTTATTTAGCAGGGTAACATGGAATACTCCTCCTGCCATCCCAGCAGAGCTTCCAGCTTTCCTGAAAACACCCAAAAAAGCTAACATGCAGCAGTCATTCTATGTCCCCAGCTCTGTTGTCCAGGTAGAAAGTCAGTGGGAGAAAGCAGGCAAAAACCTCCTGCTTCCCCTGTTTGTTGGAACAACGTTTGGGGCCAAGCAGTGGTTACACCTCTACTCCCACTGCCTCCTGAGGTGGAGCAAGTGATAATCTTAGTTTTACAGCCCATGTGAAGAAGGATTGCCCCTCCTTTCTCCAGGCAGAAGTGTGGCAGCAGCTCCCACATTAGCAAATGCAGTGTGTGAGTGCCTGTACGAGTATACACACTTCCCCTCATCGCAGGGTGGAAGAAGTGTGAAGCAGCATTGCAAGGAACATCCTTGTGTGGAGTGGATCTGGCAAGCAGGGAAGGCTTGCCCACCTGCCTGTAGCTGTTTATCTGGCTTACAGGCATATGGGAGACTAGCTAAAATGCAGCAATACATGTGTCTTGGTGTTAAGTGTAAATAAAGAAGCTAATCCAGCTGGCAGTCCTGTGAAACCAGTGGACACTAAAAAAGTGACAATCAGAGTTGTCATTTCATTTGGTTTATTTTCTTTCCCTCCATTTGCAGAAATAACATCTACATGTCATTTACATGCACACTGCTTTTACATATTTATAAAAGAGACATTGTGGTTACAAATGTGCTTTGGTTATGATAAATTTCTATGCTCATAACACTTCCATTTCCTTGTATTTCCTCAAGCTTGAAGATTTGTAAACTGCATTCAGCTTGAAGACAAAAGTGCCCTATGATTTATTTTGATATGCTGTTTTCTTCTTGCTAAAACCAGGGGCAAAATCTTCCTGCCTATAGGCACATACCTTCTTTTGTGTAGATGAAAAACCAATCCCATTCTTTCTTTCTTTTTTTTTTTGTTTCTCCTGACAGGTCCTGGGTTATAGGTGCAATAGCCCTACTCTGCCTATTAGGACTGACCTGGGCATTCGGACTCATGTATATTAATGAAAGCACAGTCATCATGGCGTATCTCTTCACCATATTCAATTCTCTGCAGGGAATGTTTATATTCATTTTCCATTGTGTCCTCCAGAAAAAGGTAAGATGATGGTTCCCAGCAGCAAGAGAGGTGGTAACGAGGTGTTTTGTTGCCTAACAACAACAGCATAGCATCGTCTGTGTGCCCTGAATTAGTATCACACAGATTTATCTCTGTGCACCTAATAAGGGTGGTATTTAGACTGGAAACCAGCAAGGTGCTGGGGAATGAGGTTCTGACAAGGACATGTAGCAGTGGCATTTCAGCAGCCAGGGCCCTTGCAGATGTGTCAGAGACAGGGGAAAAGGCAGCTGTCAGTTTGCAGGGTCCTGCTGTCAGGGCTTTTCCTGCTGTCAGCCAGATTTTCCTTCTTTGTGTGCCAGTGTGAGAGGAGAGAGAATCCACGAGCATCCAAAAAGTGCTCACGTGGCTGAGTGCTCACAGCAAAGTGGAACTTTACATCCTCATTTGCAGTCCCTGCAGGAAATTGCCCCTTTCCATGGCAGCATGTGTGGGTTGATGGGATGTAATAGGGGCTGCTTCCCCTATTCCCCCTATTCTTTTTGAAGAAGTGAAGGACCTGTGTTATGCAGCGGTTCATTAGCCTTTGTATTGCTTGGGTCTGATGCGGTGTTTTGGAAATCTTCCTCAAAGCAAGCGCAGCAAGTGCTTCTTGGTGGAAATTGAAGTATGCCCCAATTAACATTTGCAAGATAACAGTGGAGTAACTTAGATAAACTCCGGGGGGAAAAAATAAACTCAACAGAATAAAAATTCTGTGTTTACATAGATCAAATTTACAGCCTCTGACAATCAGTAATAAGTATTTTTAAGAACCTTTTTATTCTCTGCTTAAATTTTGTTATACAGATCTCTCCAATTCTGTGCATGTCTGCTGATAATTTGCTATGTACATTTTCATTTCAAAGGGCAGTTTACTGAACCAGTAGGGAAGACTTATGTGGATACACTGGTGCCAGTTTCTCAGGGTAACAAGTATCTTGTGGTGAAATGGCTTATTGAGTAAAGTCAGGTCCGTATTGAGATCTGTCCTCCATCTGAGAGCCACAGGCTTGCTCCTCTGTTACTCACATTTTGCTATGCAGGCAAGGGAGATCTGACCCATGAAAACATAATCAAAATTATAAAAAGTGAGCCCCGCAAGTGATACCTTTGTAAGGATCTACAGAACTGTGTGCAAATGTCATTCTTGAAACCAAAGGAAGACTTGTTGTGGCATTCCAGATTTATCCATCTTAAGAAGCTTTAAAGCTTTAGATGCAACTTCCTGCTGATGATCCCAAACCTTTCAGCAAGAGAGTTTCCAGGCAAGATGATAATAAGAGTGTAGGAAGCATCACCATTGCTTATTAAACCTGCAGGTGCTTCTCTGTGAGGAATTTGAATTTCTGCACCCTTCTGGCTGGTACATCCCCTCACCTCCAGTGCACCCTGCAAAGGGTCAGTTCCTAACCTAGCAGCCCTGTACTGCTCCATGGCCTCCTTGGCTCATGGGGTTCTCAGTCAGCATGACAGAACCATTCTCTTCTCTGTCTTAAGCCAATTTACACCCTTAAATCACCACGGATGACTGTGGAATTGTTCCTGATTTATGGCTGCACAGATGGAAGGAGAATGCAGCTGGTACCTTGATGTGGAGTGGATGCACCTCTCTGACCTAAGAGCTGAGGGAGGTATTATTTAAAGGGAGAAAAAAAATTCTTTCCTTTGCTATCTATCATGGCCTAGAAAATCGGCAAAGCACTGCAGAGAGGCAAGCAGTGGGTGGCTAATTAAAGCAATTGAATTATTTTCTCTCAGCAAAGGATTGATTAGGCACTCGAGCATATTGGGCACTTGTGGTATGTGTTTGTCTCAAGCGCTTAAGGAAGAGCCTAATGAAAAAGCTGTAATTTGCTATTTAAACAGTTGTTGCACAGAGTTGTGAAATGCTCATGGAGAGTCTGGCAAAATTGTACAGCTAACCATGTGCTTCAGGGAATTCCAACTGGTGTTTTGGACATGCATGATGGTTTGGGGGCTTTTTTTGTCAATGGGTAACATGACCCCCTTTTGGCTCTTCAGTACAGTCTGCTCACCTTCAGTTCTGTCCCATCTGGTTTGTGGGTATTGCTGCCCATAAAAAGTCACACCTGAAGCTTGGTGGAAGGTTAGATCCTGTTCTGGAACAAGTCAGCATAGTTCCTCTGAAACAAAGGAGGTGACAAACAATGGGTTTGACTGCAATGCCCATTTAAAACATGACTGGCTTGCACAGTGCTGTGGAAAAGCAGTTCCAGCCATCCCTGAGCATTGGGAATATAATCTCTAATGCTGCTGGTTCTACTGTATCATCAAATTTCAATTTGACTGCAAGAAACTTTTCTTTTTAATAAAAAAATCAATAGCTTTCATGTGTTTCTCTTGGAATTCTTCTTTCTTAGTCTCTTGCCAGAAGCAATAACTTTTAGTACCTTGATGAGCCAATATGCTAGTTTATATCAAATCTACAGCAATATTAATTTTCAGCCATAAATAGTGTACCTATAGCAAAATCTCCCATGCTCCTTTGATGTGCCTCAGAGGATGCTGTAACCAGCTGGTGCCCATGAGCAGCTTTGCTGCATGGGAGAAGTCTCTTGTGGCATCCTCAGCCATGAGCTCAGCTGCAAGGGGTACTGGACTGCTTTCCCACACACTGCAGCAGGTTTTGTTCCAACCAAACACTGAGGAAAAATCAGGGCTGTGCTGAAAATCAAAAAGCAGTAGGCTGGAGGAGGAGCTGCCTGCTAACCACCACCGCTCTTTCCTTGGCCAGGTACGGAAAGAGTACGGAAAATGCCTGCGCACACATTGCTGTAGTGGGAAAAGTACAGAGAGTTCCATTGGCTCAGGAAAAACCTCGGGGTCAAGGACACCTGGAAGATATTCCACAGGCTCACAGGTAACCCATGCTTTTTGTTTGTGTCCCAATGCCATGCCAAGACCCTTCTGAGCTATTCTGGGAGGAAATCTCGTCTTGGCACCAAAGGAGCTGCCTTAGGCCACTCCCCAGTGCAGCTGCAGAGATTTCCCTCACTTCCAGACCCAAACTCCACACAGTGGTTTCCCCTGAGATGTGATGGCAATTAAATGCCTCTCCAAGAACCTTCTGAATAGTTCTGTTGGGAATAAAAAGTGCAGACTTGCCTTCCAGAGGCAGGTGGGTAGTTATCACCTGAAGTGTCCTGCCTGCTCTCCATGGGAAGCAGGAGGTGGGAGCACTTTGTCAACTGTGCTACATTCCAATACATCCTTTAATCATGAGATGAAGGTTGTCACTATTAACTATTAACATGTACAAGAAGGATGCTCTAAGCCCCAAGTGTTTTTCTTGTAAAAAATATTTAAAGGCTACAAGTGTCTTGTAGCAGACTTCACAGTGAAAGAGCTGGCTTTCTGACATTCAGTGTTTTCGTCTGTTCACACAATTTGTCTTAGCTTATAGACCTCTTAGGGCAAGCCATTGGGTTCAGACTATCTCACTGAGCTACCAGATTTGTTGCCTTTGATCACCTGAAAATTCATGTTTTGTGTAGTTTGTGCATTTAGCAGTTTTGAAGCTAACTTGTGTGTAGAGATGCAGATTTATGGATGAAGAGTTCATATAAAATGAAGAAGCTTATTTCTTAATCAATAGAAACCAAACACAAATTTATTCAGTATTAGTAATGGAAGTAATTATACATGACAGTTCCACTATTAAATTATAAAAGACATGCAGCGAGTAACAGCTTATAACTTTCCAGGAAAACCTAATTTGCAATTTATGTCTTGGAGCAAATCATTATTTATTTGCAGTGATTTCCAAGATGTCATCCAAAAGCTCTGCTTCAGTGTTTTCAAAGGTCTGGTAGCTATGCAGACCAAATAAAAGCAATAGAATATAGACCTCTCTCCAGCAGGCCATCAAATCCCAGTAATGTCCAAAACTCAAAATATCCAGCAGCATTTAGGTGGCTCATTTGAAAGCCTCTGGTGTTACAAAACTTAGCTGCTGTGCTGGTGCCCTCCTCTCCAAGAAGGGTTGACTTTAATGGTCCCCCCCTCTCACCAGCCCCAGCACAAGAGAACAAGCCCTTCTGAGGGTGAACTGAGTCTTCTGGCAGCAGTCCCCTTGTATCAGGTGAGGTCTGAGGCACCAAGGAAGATTATTTTGCCTGCAGAAGCATGTCCTTTAAAGGATGGAAGTTCCAAAGGCCTATTGTAGCCAGGAGAAACCTCACACAGGTGATGGAGAGTAGATGGAGATCACTCTTGAGTTGTTGAAAACATTGGCTCCTAACTTTAACTAGAGAAGACCATGAGGAGGAAAGCTTCTAAGATCCCTTTATTCTCTGAGAAGCACCTAGGAAACAGAATACTTAATCTACAATGGATCATGTCAGAGAAATACAATAAATTAAATGTCCAGGTGAAAAATAATTACTGTAAAAGATCATAGGCCTCATGTCACATGGTACTTCCATTTATAGAAGGCTAATGAATTATTAGGAGATGCTGTTATTCCATGGTTAATGAGTAATCTAGGACTTCTCAGTCTGGGACCGTATGATTAGGCCTTGGAAAATCTCTCATGGCTAAAATCTCACTATGGAAACAACTGGATTTTTGGCACTTAAGAAAACGTGGTCTGTCACAATGGAAAAAAGGCTTCCCAGTCCCTCAGACCACCTACCATCACTTTCACACAGCCAGGGGAAAGGTCCATCAGAGTCACAGACATGAGGTGAGGGAGAGTTTCCCTGGGACACCTGGATTCTCCAGTCACCTTTATGCAGGGATTGGGACTGAACTGCTCACAAGATGCATTTTGGCTGATTTTTTGGTATTTTGCAAGGTCTGGTTGGGGAGGAGTGAGACAGCAATGTAAATGCCACAGAGGCAGATACTTCACAGCATATTTGAAAACAGAAAGCCAACATATTCAGAACACTTTTGCCAGTAGCAGAAGCTATACCACAGATGGCAGAACCATCACAGATTTGTCAGTAAGGGAACAGAAGTCATTCATTTGTGGGGATTTTTTTTGCCCCCCTAAAATCCCCAAGATGGAAAATAGCTATAGAAAACTTCTGTTTGTTCAGGGGCACAAAGGTACAAATCAAGTCTTCTGTTACAGTTCACAAAAAATAAGAAAAATGTTGTCTGAGTATGAGAAGCACATGTGCTTCTGTGTGCAGGTTATTTTGCCATTATTGGTGCTATGTTGGTAAACCTGCAGCTGGCGTGGGGTCTGGATTTCTCTCATGCATGATTTACTTTTTTTTTAATTAAGATGCAAGCAATTCAGGTATACACTTTTTCTTTGAGATAGGCATTTGTGTTACGAAGTAAGTCTGGCAGGGTCTGGCATGCATGAGGCAGGTTACAACAAAACAGCAACTGCTTGCTTACAGCTGGCTAGAAGCAAGTCTCATCCTGAGTTAGACATGCCAGTAGCCATCCTTAGTGAGGCAGAAAGAAACCTCTCTACAGCTGCTAAAAATTCATTGCCTGCTGTGCTTCAATCCCCCTTCAGAGCCGGATTCGTAGGATGTGGAATGACACAGTTCGAAAGCAGTCCGAGTCTTCCTTTATTACTGGAGATATAAACAGTTCAGCTTCACTCAACAGAGGTAATTATAAATGGCTTTTCATATCTCTAACTCTTCTGATGGCTTTAAGGAGTCTGAAATATGTTGCCTCTTTGCCCCCTGCCTTTTCCTCCTCACTCCAGATGTCACCGAACCCTGTTCTACCACCCAAGAAATGTTACAGTGATAAATGGGAGGAGATTTTATGGTGGTTGTTGCCTTCTTTTTCTTTTCTTTCTTTATTTCTACACGTGCATTTTCAAGAATTGTCATTTCTGTAAGGAAGTTAGAAAAAGTGAAAGAGAGAAATGAAATTAAGTTGAAATCTCCCCTGTCCCTCAGAAAGCTGCTAGTGCCAGAAGCTGCTGACGTGTCAGGCCTCGTTGCTGACAGTGAAAATGGGCCATTACAGCACTGTACAGCCTGTGTTAAGCATCACAGGAGTCCTGATTGTCCTGCATATGTAGCAATACTGTCATCTTTACAGAAGCAAAAGTGAACAGCAGAACATAGACGTAAGGAAAAACTGTGCTTGGAACAAAATTGTCTGTGTTGGTGTTAATATACGTAGTTTGAAGAACTGACTGATGTGAACTTTATAGACATCTGTGGAGGAAAGGCTATCAGAAATGTATATGCCAAACAAAATGTGGTGTCTGGCACAAGGGGAAATATGAACAGCTTTTTTAAACCAAGTGTTTTTCAGGGAGTTGTAGGAAAGAGGCGGTAACAAAATACCAGAAAAAGAGCCTCAGAGGTTGTTTCCTTTCTCTTCTGTGCAGCTACTTTATGAATGAACCTTGAGCAAGCAGGTGCCAAACTCTGTTTTGTGTTTTCTGTCCAGTTGATGCTGAAATTAAGAGAGGGTAGAATTGGGATTACTGGGCCTAGCTGTTCTCTCATGATGATGAAAATGAAACGTATTTCCGGTCCTGATGGTTAGTCTGCAAAGCTCAACTGAGAATTGAGTTGGGACTTTGGTTCCTATTCAGTCTTTATTCTCACTGAATTCCCACTGATTTTAGGGTGAGTTTTGTCTGAGGATAGCCTTGAAGGATTTTGACTGGTGCTGAGTAGTATTGAGTGCTGTGTGCTGGGGGAACCAAGGGTATATGATTCTGTTCTCTGAGCATTATACACACTGCCCAAATCGGTGCAAAGAGGGAAGGCACAACATGGAGCTGTACTGCTCTTTAACTCACTGGTCTTTTTTGTGTCAGGATATTTTCCCTTTGCACTGAAGATTCATTAATAAAGTTGACTATAAGGTTCCATTACTGCAAATGCCTGATTTATCCACATACATCGCCCTCACATCTCTTTCTGTCTCTGCATTAAAGACTGCAGAGCAGCAGTCTGGGTCTAATGGAGGGGGGAATTGGTTGTCACACAACGGTTCCAGCAAGAGCCACAGTTTCCCTCAGCCATCCATCCACTGCTCCATCTCAGTGGCAAACCAAAATGTGTTATGCATGAAATGTTTGCTCCTTTAGTTAGCACAGAAGTTGAACTTGCTCTCCGATGCAGCTGAGGTTATCAAGGGGTGTGTTTTAGCAAACAGGATCTTCTGGGCTTGTTAGCAAAAGAAAGGTACCTCTTCTTTCTTGGTTGTGCACTTTTTTCTGTGCCAGGAGGGAAATATGACTGTCACTTGGGACAAGTGAAGAGGTTTCAAGTGGACAGTATTCATCCCAGTGTGGTGAGAGCCTGTTACAACATGTGCCTGTTATTTAAAGGTCAGTTGGGAAATGAACTGGCAGGGGAAGCATCTTCAATGCAGGCTTCCTCCAGCTATTTTCCTTGTGTAACACTGGATGAGGTGAATCACCTGAAGGGCCTGAATCTCTCTACTGGCTCCACAAGCAGCCTGATAAGTGTTTTAGAGGGGAAGACTTTTAGGTGGAACACTGAAGTGACTTGAGTAAGTTTTACAATTCTACAGTCATCCTCCCTTTTTTCACACAGGCAGGAACAATATTTGTCGTTGTTGGGTTTTGAGGGATTTTGCCTGGTAAACAGAAGTATTTGCAAAGTGGAGGTTAAAAATATTTCTATAGGAGATAGCATCTCCAAAGCAGCAGGTGGTCAGTTCCACATGGAAAAACACCTGACATCAACAGTAATCCCAGCTGCACGGGACTCCAAGTATTTCTCCCTTTACCCTGTTTATTTTAGCTGAAAAGCAACATTCGTGGTCTTAGGGCTTTCCACAGAGAAAACTCTCCAGAGAACTGCAGTCTGAACAGAGCAGTGGGGCAATGTTTTTCATAGTTCTTGTCTTACTCTTAATATTTACATATATATTCATTTTTAAAGGAGCTGTTTCATTAATGTTTTATTTATTAGCATGCTATTAAGACTCAGAGGATTCAAATGTGAGCCTTGAACTGTGTGGTCCATAGTTTTCCTTGCCTGAGGTTGATACAACAGGGTCCCATTCCTGTTCAAAACTTCCACTCTAGCCTCCCAGCCTAGACACAAAATTTTGCACAAAATTATCTGTATCATCCCAGGTTAAACATTCTGTGTGTGCTGGCATTTTCCCCGGAGCTTCAGAGAGCAGCCTGTGTTCTAAAACAGGAAGAAAATTATCCTTTGTCCCCAGAATTGTTTTAGCATCCAGGTCTTGGAGCTTAACTCCACTTCTCCATGTCCTGGGCCAGCACTGAGTTTTCACGTTTCTGCTGGGGGAGCAGAAAGCAGTGAGACACCCACTAACTGGGGTGCTATCTCATTGAAATCTTTTTTTTCCCTGATGTCATTCATCATATTCGTAGCCTCCTGCCACATGGTAACATCCCAGGCAAGACTGCTCTAGCTATCCATCTTTCCTGTATGATGACCTGCGTTTCTTTATGACATCTCATCCCTTCTTCCTTCATGAACCTCCTGGGCTTCAGTCTGGAATATGGTGTCTGTGTTGGTGCATCCCTCCTTTAGACATACAGCTATGTCCTTTTCTGATTTAGCAGGTAACACACTGCTTATGGCTCTTTTCAGCTTCATATTCTTTTTTATTTTCTATTCCCCCCTCTCCCTGCCAAGGTAATTGACCATAATGTTACTTATTCAAATTTATCATACCAGGAATTTCAGGCATATATCTGATGTGATGTGTTCTGTGATAAAAACTTCACTCTGTCCTAGGGCATATAAGACTATTTCAGATATTTCCTGAAGGTAGCATCTAATTATTGATTAATAAAAGGATGTCTGACTTTGTTTTCACTTGCTGCTCATTATGGCTTTGTAGTGATGTGGATTTGGGGTTGCTATATCACTGAAATCAGGAGGAAGGGAAGAGAAACTGGCTGCGGATTTTCTTTTTTACTGTCAAATGAAGAGTATGCCTGGCCAGCCCATGACCATGGTCTGTTTCAGGATCCAGTGAGAATACTGCTCCTTGCATTCCCATTCTGCAACTCTGTCCAATTTTTCACACCCTGGGTCTGGGTGCATACTTCTTCCGTGTATTTCACATCTGACCTGTGCTCTACATTTATTTTCCTAGTGCTGAAAACTTCAGAGGTGTAAAAGCTGAACCAAGCTGATTACCTCATAAGTAGGAAAAAGAAGTTTCCCTCTGCCTGCAGGGTGTTTGGTGTGTGATCTTAATGCAGGCACTTGGATGCAGTGCTGAAAAAGTAGTACAAAAGGAATGCATGTAGGATGGACTGTTTGCTGGAGTTTAGGGCTTTGCAGGCTCAAAAGTGGAATGTATGAAGGAAGAGCAACAGCCTGCCTGAGCTTTGGCTACATCCAGTTGGGCACCGCAGGATCGTGAGAGATGTGTCTGTTTGCATCTTTGGAGTGTTAATGTCAGAAAGCTCTGGGATGGCTCAGCCAGCCTTGCAAACAAGCAGTCATAGCATGAAACAGCAATGTGACACCAGCCTATTTTTATCCATGTCTTAGGTGAGAGGCAATACAGTAATTAGTGTCTCTCTTTAGATATGAGAAAACTGGGTGAGAAAAAAAATCTTTATCAACTATGTGATACTTTGTTACCCTGCAGGTTTTCAAGATGGGGGAAGGGAGGTGGTGGTATGATTTTTCTTCAGCTGAAAAGTGGAAGTTATCTGTTAAAGAAGGGCCTGTTCCTTGTTTTGTTTGAGCCTTGAGGCTCAAGAGCAGCAGAGACAAAGGACTGTGTCACTGGTGTAAGGCAGTGTTTTGTAAAAGGAAAATGTTCAGATGGAGTTGTGTATATCAATTCAAGTTAGCACATAGTAGTTTTTCCCTCTCGAGGAAAATAACTGGGCCAGGGGTAAAGCCATCAGATTTCATAGATATTAGAAACTGCTCCAGAAGTGCCTTGTGTTGGGTCAAGCGCTGTTCTCGGTGGTCTGCATGCATTGCTGCTCCAGTACTGTGAAAGAAAAGAAACAGCAGGGAGCTGTAAGAGCAGAGCTGTTTCTTGAGGGAGGACACCTGGGAGCTGAGGGAGAGTCAAGCCCAATCCAAACCCCCAGTGATGGTTCATTGTGCCACAGGGGATTAAGCCAGGAGCCCTGGACAAGGTGAGGGGATGAACCTGGTCCAGACCACCAGGAGATACTGGCAGAGACAGGGCTGGAAAGTGAGCTACAAGGCAGGTCCAGGATCCAGCCAGAAGGCAGACACAAGGCAAGGACTGGGTACCCAGAGCCGAGCAGGGCTGTGGCTTCCTGGTGGGTCTCATCAAGATCACCGAGGCCTATGGGGGTCCTAAAAAGGACCTCAAAAGTTGTTCCACATTGGAGCCCAGGACCCCTGGCAGCTCTTCCTGAAGGATGGTAAGTCTTAAATACAAATTCATCCATGTGGCCCTAAGGGTCCATTCATGAGAGAGAAGGCCCTTGCCAGGGTCACCACAAAGCCCTCGGATTCCCAGTATTTGCACAACAGATATTAACCCTGACTAGGAAAACCATATTCACTCCCTGTTTGCTTCCATGCAAATGGGCTGAAATGGGAAATGGAAATTAGGGTATTGTTTGTCCCTCCCCTTTGCTTTTTCTTCCCCAATGCATAAGTGCTGTTGCATGTTTCCTCTTCTGGGT